ACGAGCTAAAAATTGAACGCGCTTTTCAAGAACAAGGGCAATAATTCATACTACATATTTTTCGATTTCCCTGATTTTTCTATAGGGTTTATCCTTGGGTGAATACGAACACTCATACCAAGTTTCGTCAAAATCTGTCAAGAATTGTGCCTTCTAGAGTGTTTACGAGCTAAAAATTTAACGGTTTGCAAGAACAAGGGCAATAATTCATACTAAATATTTTTCGATTTCGCAGATTTTCAATAGGGTTTATCCTTGGGTGATTACAAACACTCATACGAAGTTTCGTTAAAATCCATCAAGAATTGTGCCCTGTAGAGTGATTACGAGCTAAAAATTGAACGTGTTTTCAAGAACAAGGGCAATAATTCATACTACATATTTTTCGATTTCGCTGATTTTCAATAGGGTCTATCCTTGGGTGATAACGAACACTCATACCAAGTTTCGTCAAAATCTGTCAAGAATTGTGCCTTCTAGAGTGTTTACGAGCTAAAAATTGAACGAGTTTGACAGAACAAGGGCAATAATTCATACTAAATATTTTTCGATTTCGCTGATTTTCAATAGGGTTTATCCTTGGTTGATTACAAACACTCATACCAAGTTTCGTCAAAATCTGTCAAGAATTGTGCCTTCTAGAGTGTTTACGAGCTAAAAATTGACAAGGGCAATAATTCATGTTAAATATTTTTCGATTTCGCTGATTTTCAATAGGGTTTATCCTTGGGTGATTGCGAACACACATACTAAGTTTCGTTAAAATCCGTCAAGAATTGTGCCCTGTAGAGTGACCGACGGACCTACGGACGGACCGACGGACATGGGTGACGACAAGATATGCCCTTCATTTCATGTGGGCGTATAAAATGTAAAAAGTATACAGTCAAGTAACCTAATTTCGTGGAAACCTATTATTCGTGGATTTCCGGAAAGGATTAATAATTTGCATGAGCGACCTTGCGCGACCTCCGCATAAGTTTGTTTTGATAAACATGGGTTTTTCTCTACAATATCAGCTAGTAGAATGAATTCAGTAGTTTCAAGCAAGGTAAAATGTATTAATGTATACTTTGACAAATACAAAATGGCGGATTTCAGATATTACCAAACGTCACCATTTTTTATCGGCCGAATTTCCTTATAATCCCAAGCGGTAATCGGAATTCCAACTGTCGTCTGCTAGAATATATTCCAACGAATGAAGTCACGTGATCAACTAGCGGATTCTGTGTCAGCAGAAAATTTCTATGGAACACAAAGTGGACGATATTCTTATGTTGTTTCAGTGACATTTAGCAATAAATCACGCTACGTATCTTATTTTGTCAGTCACTATTTTTTTTTTAAATCTGTTCTTTGAAGGAATTGTCACTAGTTCTAATGAATTGATATTAAAGATAAATACTAAGTGAAGTTAATTATACCACCCGGTATCCATACAACGTGTTTTTCTCGACTTATTTATAGATCAAACATTGTACACGAAAATAGGTGACGCATTCTGCCGCCGTTGCCGAGTCGGTTGCTCATGAAATATGGGTCAAAGTGAAGGATTCATAAAGAAACTTGAAACAAACCAATTTCAATTATTTTGTAGAATATCTGAGGAAACATCTAAGACATATTTTTTTTTTCGTTTTTTTAAATTTGACGAAATTCGGTGTTGAATCCTTATATCCACGAAAATAGGTTACACCACTGTATAACTAAAAGTAAAATAGAATGAATGTAGTGAATTAGATGCTCTGCAATTTAAACAAAAAGAAAAGAACCAACTGTATTATCAATCCGTTTTATTAACTCTATAGAATTGGCCAATTGCCAGGGGCTTAGACCGGACGGCTTCATGCACTCTCACTCACACAAAAATTTGAATTCCGACAGAAGTGAACCTGAACTTTGCTAACCACGGGATTGGAGAAATGCTGAAGAAATTTGGATGTTAATCTACTGTGTTTAATGACTGGTAAACTGTATTATATTTGCTAATCTGTATCCTGGTGAAATTTGAGAAAATTCAGTCAGAACTGGCACGTATTGTGTATTTGCTGTGAAACTGGTCACATTTACTGAACTTTTGTTTATCTGTCATATATCCTGTGAAATTTTGACTGATTGAATTTTTGAAAATTAAACATGCCACCAGAGGAACTGAAAACTTTGTTCTTAGAAGCCAAGAAGAAAAGAAGAAACTGTAAAGCTGCTATTACCAGACTAGGGAAAGTACTAGATAGACTGATTAATGAAAAAAGGGGAATAGAAGAAATCCAAGAAATAGTTTTGAAAATAGACACTGCATTTGATAATCTGGTGGAAACACATACTGCATATACTCAAATGATAGAAGATGAGGATGAATTTGAAACTGCAGAAATTTGGTTGGATGATGTGCAAAACCAGGTCACAACATTAAAAATGTATTCCAAAGATTATGTTAAACGCTTAGATGATGAGTTCCAAGCCAAAACCCAGAATGTTGAAATTCCCCAGAGCCCTGATCAAATAAACCTGTCACCCTCTTCATCCCCTATTGATAATTCATTACCTACTGATAACCAGAGTAATTCTGATGTAAATAATATTGTTGATCCTTACAACCACAGTATAGACGATAATCCGAGTACTTCTGCTGTTGTTAATCCGAGTACTTCTGCTGTTAACCCAAGTACTTCTGCTGATGATAATCCGAATCCAAGTACTTCTGTGGATCCGAGAGATTCTGCTGCTGTTAATCCAAGAAATTCTACTGCTGTTAATCCGAGAAATTCTACTGCTGTTAATCCGAGAAATTCTACTGCTGTCAATCCGAATAATTTTGAGTATATTCTGAGTACCGAGAATATGAATGGTCTTACTGCTTCAACTAGCCTGAATAGTAATTCTGTCAGTGGAAATCCTACACAATCTACCGATGTTTGTCAATTTAAAATGGAGAAATCGAAGATGCCAAAGTTTAGTGGAGATGTTCGTGAATATTATACTTTTAAGTCAGACTTTTTGCATATGGTTTCATCGAGATATAGTAACGAGATGCTATAACTTTACTGCGTTCCTGTTTGGTAAATAAGCCATTAGAATTGATAAGTGGTATGGGTTCTGATTATGTGCTGCCTTTGAATATCTAGACTCAATGTATGGAGATCCAAGATTTATTGCTGATTGTATTACCCAAGATTTAACACGTTTCCGTCCACTAAGAGATGGTGAAGATGCACGTTTTTGCGAATTAGTTCATGTTGTCCGAAGAAGTTATAACACACTTAAAGAAATAGGCAGACCTAATGATATGAACAATAATCACATGTTAGCTTTAATTGAACAGAAGATGAACACGGAAGACAAGAAAGTTTGGTTCAGATATCTTGAAAAGGACAAAAAGACTGCTGATTTAGAAGATTTATTAGAATGGATGAATGCTGAAATGAAGTCTCGTATTCGTGCTACTGCTCCTTTAAGATCATCTGGTCAACACTCAATATTCAACATACATCATGGTAATTTTGATGATAGACCTGCTGAAACCAATCGATATAAATGTTGGCTTTGTAAAAGCAATGATCACTGGTTAGACCAATGTGTTAATTTCCTGTCCAAATCTGTATCTGATCGTATTAAAACTCTGAAAGATAATCATGCCTGTTTGAGCTGTTTGAAAATTGCTGGTAAAAATCATGGTGTAATGAACTGTTCGAGAAGACGCCAATGTACTGAATTCTATAATGGGAGTCGCTGTAAACTGTTTCATCATAAATTACTTCATCCTACTAATAGAACAACAAGCCCTGAACACCACAGTGTAGGAATTGCATCAATGCTGAATAGTAGAGAAACTATTTTACCTGTAATAACTGTTGATATTTATGGTAAATGTAATACTGTTAGAGGAAATACCCTGTTAGACTCTGGTGCCCAGCTTAGCTTAATTAGAAAATCAATGGCCGAACAACTTCAATTAGAAGGCAAAGATATAAGTATTGTAATGACAAAAATTGGTGGAGATTCTGAAGAACTTAGAACCAAGCTGTATAAATTTAGAATAGTTTCAATGGATACTGGTAGATCTTTTCAAATTACTGCTTTAGGAATTCCATGTATTAGTGAAGATACTGAAGAAATTAGATTATTGAAGT